GAAACATCCTCGTAGCTCGATTCTTGGCGTCAGTTTTTGATTTTTCGTCATTAGCAGTTAACGATGCACAAGACTCGAACAACTGCGAATCGTCTGTATAATGTACATACGTAAGTACTTCCAATGAAATAAGTTTTCCCAATTAAAGACGTCGTTTAAAGCTACGTCCTGATATATAAATAAAAATTAAAGCCGAAAGAGAGGAGGCCTTATTAACTCGGAGTCTGCGAAATTAAATCACTCGGAATTGCAAATGTAATTACAAACAGCGTAAGCTACTGACACGTTTATAATCGGCTGAAACGTTATTTGCAATATCGACGAGCGAGCAAACAAACCAAACGTCGACAGGTACATATATATATATATATATATATTATAGATCAGAGAGAGATTTTCGGCAACGCGCCCCGCGTTTATCCGGGATCAAAAACTGGTTCACGCGGACTGATTGGCTGTCGTATAATAAAACTCAAGTAGCCCGGACAAGATCGAATTATACACGATCATTACGCGATACAGCTCGCGCACGCTCTCGCACGATGCCCGGGATCCCGCGATAATTCGGATTAAATCCGAAAAGTATATCGCTGACTTCGCTCGCGCGGCGCATTACCGGATCGAAATCCGTTTGTCAATTAAAACCTCGGCGAACGAAAGTCCCTCACGCGATACGCCACAACGTCGAGAATCGCTCCGATTGAATTTAATACTCCGCGATTACGGCGCAATATGCAGCCGGGGGTAACTGCTGGTAAGCGCTCCCAGGACACGTGAAAGCGCTTTGTGTGCGCCACGCGCGCGTGTCGCAGTATCGGGAGCATAATAAACAAGCGTGTATACAATACAGTTGCACAATGCGGGCAGTGTACACAGAATCTGGACATTGATTTCCACGTCGATAATTAATATACAATTGCAACGGTGTGACGAGTAAATTAATTAAACTACACATTAATGAATTAGTATTAAAGTAATTATATGGGGCGATTCTATCTCCACAGCCATTATTATTTTGCGAAACTGCCCGAAACAATCTCCGAAAATTGTCTCGGATTCTCGCCGAGAGAGAGAGAGAGAGAGAGAGAGAGAGAGAGAGAGAGAAAGAGAGAGAGAGAGAGAGAGAGACTTACGGAATGGCACCGGACTTTGAAAGCGCGAATTTCGCAGCTCACAGATTTTTGAGAATTTATCTACGGATTCTCGGAAGATATCGGATATTTTCCTCCGTCACAGAGGCCATATCACGTTCCTGGGAATGCGCTGATAAACGAGTCTCACCTGTATCACCTAGAGCTGGTCACGTTGCTTGCTCCGACGAGATCGCACCGCGATCGATATACCAATCCCAATTAACTCGCCGCTCGCTTTCCGCGAAACGAATAATGGTCGACGGTTCTTAGATTCACAAAGTAGCGCATTTCTCTGACCCAATCGACCGCATCGATTTTTTTCTTACTCTTACCATGGTTATACATAGATATCTCTCGCGATCACCGTTTAAAAGAAAATGGTATCGACCACAACGCGTCGCCTTGTAAATATCGTAAAGATTTGAAATTTTAAAGGTGTATTTTTCGATAATTTTGACGTTGAATCCCCTTACTTGAAAAGAGCCACGTCTTTCTGTGATTTCTTAATTCTCTTAGAATTTCTAGATTTGAGATTAGAAAGTCTCCTACACGGAGAGAATTTCCTTTTATTAAAATTTGCCCTGAATCATGTTAATCGTGGGACAACATAGTATTTCGATAAATTTTACCGTGCACTACAATAAATTTGTTGTATATAAAAAAAAATAGTAAAAATCACATAAAATTCGTCGAAATATTCTGTTGTTCTACGATTAACATGACTTTCAGGGTAAATTTTTAAGTAAAATTCTCTCCGTGTAATTTTTAATCGCTTCTAACTAAAGAATTACTAACGGCCAGACGTCGCGATCGAGTTTCCACGAGAAAATATTCCCTTAAATTATCGAGCACTTATTCGATATACACAAGCATCCGTCGTCTCTCTCTCTTTCTCGTGCACTTAGCCTCAGGTAGGTAGGTTACGATCGATCGTAACTAAGGCCGACGACGACGGATGAATGGCGATGGCCGCGAGTAATCGCGAGGAGTTGTCGCCGAGAATGAGGAACGCGACGGCCTTCCAGAGAACGTAGAGGAGGCCTTCTCTCGCTCGTTACGCAAATACGCAGATCCACGGAGACGACGTGGACGATGAGAAAGCGGGGCAAGCGGGAGGGCGAGAGGCGGAGGGTGTCGGCCTTGGCGAAAAGAGCAGACCTCGGCCGGCTGTTCGATGACCTAGAGGCAAAGGTGGGCGGGAACGAACGTTGCCGACAGGTAATCTGATAATATCGTTCATCACACACCTAAATCGCGAATTAGCGAGGCCTCGTGGAGAGCAGAAAGAGAGAGAGAGAAATAGAGAGAGAGAGAAGAGGAAGAGAGATTTACCAAAGTGGACAATATTGATGCGTCCAGGCGCGTATCGAAGACTCTAATACACGTAACTTCGAAGGGCCACTTTACGCCCCGCGCTCTCGTTATTAACGTCTCTAAATTCGTTATATTAATACCAGGGAGAAACAACTGCGCCATTCGCGGCGCGGCTGGATCGCAAATTGGTGAAGCGATAGACAGCGGCGGAGTATCGATTGCCAAACTGTCAACGCGGAGACCGCGTAATTACGTAATATATCGTTCGTATCTCGTAAAATATCGAGCTATTTTTTTTTCGAGCTGAGGAACTTATCGCGGGATTATTACGGGATATAATTTTATGGAGAGAAAGAAGATTTCATCTCTCGTTCATACTCCACCATTACGGAGTGGATTAAATTGATGGGTAGCGACGGTATAATCCTCATCGAGAAACGAGATAATCTTATACCTTCGTGCAATCGGAATTATATCCAGCGATAGAAATTGAGACATCTTTATCTTATCTCTCTCTCTCTCTCTCTCCTTTGGGCTGCTGCGACTTTCAAAATAGATTCAGGTGTTTTAAAAATTAACGGAGACGAGGTGTAGAAGCCACGTCGGTGGAATAACGACGCGCCTCGCGACCGGCCGTGTCGGCGAGCGGGTCAGCCGAGAGTTACGTGCGAACAGATGCGCCCGGGCGACACATGTCGATCACCTGCGTCCCGCGGATCGCCACGATTCCGCGCAATTTATCTGTCCCGTTTGCGCGCGCGTGTAGAGCAAAAAAGGGATGGACAACCTTTCGAGGGAACGCTACCGAAATGGGAATCACCTCGCGATCTTCGCGGATCGTGCGCGACGATTCAGATTCGCGGGCCCGGTGCCCTCGGTGCTGCGATTATTCGCGTTATTACTCGCGCGTCTCGTCACTCACGTCATTAAAGATACGGGAACCGCCTGTCCTCTCGGCGGCGCGCAATTAGCGCGCCCGCCCACCTGCGCGTGAGGGAAAAACCGAGGCATTTTTAAACGGCACCGAAAGACGGATTACGGCATCGCAAATAATAACTTATGGGGCGCGGATCGTTCGGTAAATAAGGGTTAAAAGAATCTCGGGGGGGAAGGGGGGAGAAAAAAAGAGAAAGAGAGACAGACGGCGAGGGAGATGGATAGAGAGAACAGGAAAAAAGGCGATCGATGGTCGGGCGAGCAGCGGAGCTCCGCCGTCTCCCTTCCTCCCGTCATCCCCCCGCTCGCCCACTTCGTCGTCAATCGTCGCCTTCCAATCGTCCCTGCTTATCGGCCGACCGATAACCAGCCGGAGCCACGCAGATACAGCCCCGTGACGTATCGCTTCCTCGAGATGGCCCGGCAACGTGCGAGGAATTTCGTCGCCGGCCGCGAGAGCAACATGGCGGCGGCGAGGAACGAGACGACTGGCACTCCTCTCGCTCGCTCTCTCTCTTTCTCTCTTCCTCGCACGGCGTCTCGTGCGTCATCGGTGCGGCCGCCTTCAGGCCGTCGATCGCGGCGACGTAGCCGAAAGAGAGAGAGAGAGAGACAGAGAGAGAGGGGAAAGAGCGAATCTCCGTCGCTCGTATACCTATATCTCGCCGAAAATGACCGTCTCGCCCGGCGCAAATCTCGCGAGAGACCCGACCCGAATTCGCCGATTTCCCGCACGCGGGAACGAGAAACGCGCGACGGCGCGATCGCCGCCCGGCGAGAGCCCCGAACGGCGAGCGGGCCGCCCCGACGACGTCGGGCGGCATGGCTACGGGGTCCACACGGGCCGCGTTGCGGCGCACGTCGCCCGCGATCCGCCGTCGACCGCGGCCGCGAACGGCCGCGATCGCGACGCGACGCGACGTGGCGGGCGTACGGCGGCCAGACGGAGCGGACTCACCTTCGGAGTGCTGTAAGCGGCCTGGGAAATCGGGCTCTCGACGTGTTTCAACAGCTACCGTTCACTACGTTCTCGCTGAATGCACTGGCGCGACTAACGGAAGCCGCCATCTTGCCGGGCGCTCGCGCGCCCGCTTCCGCCGCGGCGCGGCGCGCCGATTTGAATCGCACGCCTCGGACGTCCTCGAGAACGTGTTCCTGAAAAAAAAGACACTTACATTAGATGAAATGGTACATTAATGACACTCGTTACGTCTTACATTAATTTCAGCTCGGCGGGATTTGAATATTGTATAAGATAAACAAAGCAAATTAAGATTTTATCGAACTGTATGTTTTTTTTTCAAACTATCTTATTTTCAAGAATTCTGGTTTAGAAATTAGTTCAAAGGTGTTACATAAAGATCGTAAAAATTGTGTACGTAATAAAAATGTCTTTTGAAGAATAAAAAAGATTAATGAAAATACAAATATTCTAAGATAAAAAATAATTATTTTTATAGAAATATAAATTATTTAAATTTTTATTGGTAATCTAAAATAATAAAATTTTACAAGAATTTCCAAAAGATGTTCTTTAGAGACGAAGAATTAAAGCGCAGAAGAAACTGCGATTTATTTCAATTCGTTACGTGTAACGCCCTCTCTGTAATAGTGATCCAAAGGCATCACATGTGAGCACAGCACACCGAGCACATGGCAGATCATGAATGTCAAGCGTGAATTTTAAGCGTTTTGATCAATAATAATTTTGTCGTATTTTCTTTAATCCGTGAAAGAATCCAGCTCTTCAAAGATGCCGAAATCGAAGAGGGATAAGAAAAGTAATTCTCCTAAATTGTCTCATATATTTCTACGTATTTTCGTAAGAAATATTTTTAGAAGCGGTTAGCTTCTCGCAACTAACCTCCAAAAACAGTTTTAATTAATTCAATTTCACGATTTAACACCTTATTGCATAGTTTTATTATAACGAATTAATAATTTTGAAGTGTTATTTTTTTTACTCCTTTATAATGTGAAAAGAAATTTGTGTAAGATAAATACTATTCATAATTTAAAAAATATTTTTATTACAGTTTCTCTGACTAAAACCAATAAAAAAGGCTTAGTCTTGAAGCAGCGGATTATGGAAGATGTTAAGAGATGTGTAGAAGAATACAATCGCGTGTTCCTAATCTCTGTTCAAAACACACGCAACACTAAACTGCTTGATTTACGCGAGGAATGGAAAGACAGTAAACTCTTCTTCGGAAAGCTCCGAATAATCGCACTGGGCCTGGGGAAATCGAAGGAAACCGAGATTGCAGAAGGCATACATAAATTAGCTGACGCAATAAAGAATCACTCGATGAGTGGCCAGTGTGGTCTGTTATTCACCAATAGACCGAAGAAACAGGTACATAATACATAAACATTAAGTCTTCGTGTTCAAAGCACAATGGAGTTAGACAGAGTTTAATATTTGTAAGAATATATCTTGAAACTTTATGAACAAAAAAATTGCATAATTGATAATGTATTTGCTTAGGTAATAGAATGGGCACAAGAATATGAAGAAATGGAGTACGCCCGTTCTGGATTCGCAACACCCGAGACGGTGGAATTACCCGAGGGACCTCTGCCACAGTTCCAACATAGCATGGAGCCGCAGTTGAGGCAGTTGGGTATGCCTACGTCGCTGAAAAAGGGAGTCATCACTTTGATCAAACCGTTCAAGGTTTGTCAGAAGGGCGACGCACTCACACCGGAGCAGGCACAAATCTTGGTACATATTTTATACATATATATATATATTATTTTTTTGTTTTTCTTAAACATGAGACAATGAGATATTCATTCTGATATGTTTTGCAGAAATTATTGGGTAAACCACTAGCGGTTTTTAAGCTGCTACTTCTGGGAGTGTACACGAAAAAACATGGTTTTAAGAAACTGACGGTACCAGATGACACAAAAGAGAATGATGAAGAAGAAATGGATGTGGAAAACAATGATGATACATGAGAAATTTATGTGTAGTTTAAAAAAAATATGTATATACTAACTTTATACGATACATAAATATATTTTCTTATTTGTAATTACTTTGTTGAAATTTAAATAACTCGCGACACAGCAAACGTTTTATATGTCATGAAATTGTATTTAAATGATTAACAAATGAATACGGAATTGATAATTTTAACATGTCAAACAAAATTTTTAGTGTTTCAAATGAATACAATTTCATGAAAAATATATAAATAAAAATTCACATCTATTAACCAACAAATAAAATATGCAAACAATTGTTTTAACTGTATTTTGGATGATTTGTATATTATGGGTGAGTGGAATTTTATCTGAATTCTTGTCTGAATTTTTATCATATGTACTATTATATTTTTTTAATACATAAGGGTTTCAATTATCATGTTTCAAACAATATTTTTAGGCCATATATTACTGGTACCTGTCTCCAAATAAAGCTGCTAATGATACACCCAAAGTTGTTCATGATTGCGATCATTCACCAAGACTAGAATACATGGGACATCAGACTAGGAGGCACAGTACATCTTCCATCGAATCTTTAGAGCATTCAGATAATGAATATACTCGAAGTAGAAGAAAAAATACACAGAAATTAAAACATGAGGTACACACTTGTTATAAAATTAATACTTAAATACATACATTTGAGAGATCCTGAACGTATACCGTGAATATACGATCTGTGAAACATTAACGAATTACATTACGAATATTATAAATTTATATAAAATATTAAATATTTCAGATTAAAACTCGTTGGCCAAGTAAAACATCGCTAGACAAAAAATTCTACAAATCCTTTTAATGTATATTATATTCCACATTCAAAAGACTTTTTTATAATAGCAGCATGAAAAATGATTGAAATTATTAATAAAAAAATGAAATAAAATATGTAACATGAGCATAAGATATTTCAATTTTTATATATGATAAAATATATGTCGATTAATAGAATAATGTAGTTACATTTGTAGAGCAAAACAGGCAATAACATTAAATATTTTCATAAAGTAGTCAGTATTTGTGATTGTGACGAAATAGCCATTTTCATAATTTTTATTATTCACGATTCCAAAGGGTACAGGTCATACATTTATCGTTATATATATAATATATATATATATAGAAGTTTTAGGGATGTGCTAATACTGCTAAAAGATACGAATTAAGTGAACTAAATTCAATAAAACAGATTGCATTACGATGAGATCATCTTACAGGCAATGTGATACTATTATTGACACGTGAAACTCAATAGACATACGTATGTGTTATCTTACACAACATAGACTTTTTCAACACTCTATCCCGTCATAATTTCTACGCGTTATCTCCACTTGTAAAAATTAGATTATTCAGTAGAAAGATTTCTTGTGTCTAATAATTACAATAACATTAATATCCTCATCACTGTCATGTATTATTTCCAATCTGTTCAATCCTTGTTAATTCACTTATTAAAAAGTGTAAAATCCTTTTCGTTATTGCGAGAAATTATTATGCCACGGTAACTTATAAACAAATTATAAAAAAAAACAGAATAAAGAAATTATAAACAAACCTCGTCTAAATGTATTTGTACCAAGAATAATGCTTTTTAACAAAATAGATAAATACTACAAATTAAATATTAAACAATTATAAATTTACAGTGTAACATTACATCGTATAATAATTAATTAAAATAATAGTTAAAGTCTATTCTAAATCAACAATACAAAATATATACAGTATTTGCTTCTTGTCATAAATTCCTCTGCCATTGATCTGTGCGCCATTACATTTGTCTATTTGTCCGAGACTGTACTTTTAAAATTATTCGTAATTTGTTCTGCAATCTTTTTTCCGCCTCGTTGTTCCATAGTGTATACTGTATGTGAATATGTATTATCACGTGTAATAAAAGACATAATCTATTGCGATTATAACTCTATCCTCTTTGGTTGGATACAGTTGTACTTTTCACAGTTAGTTCAATCGCACGACTCGAGAAGGACGAGGAGTGAATCCGTCAACGTTTTATCTTTACATGACGTTAATCGAAACTAAAACAATGATGCTAACTTAATCTACACGTCAAAAGTATTTTTTAGGTAACGTATGAAAGAGCAAAAGACTGGTAGAATGAATGTATATTCGATTTAGCGGGACAACCACGATTGAGAGAACAATTAAATTAGCAAGTAGAAATTAAGATCACGTACGGATTACGGAATACAGAATAGATTCGTACACTTTGTGTACGGAGACCACTCTAACGCAAAAACGTTAAAAACGAAATCCACGTCTGTGTTACACGTTATCCACTTCACAATTCCCTAGTTTGATCAGAAATATCACAATGCAAATGAATAGTCATTAACTTTAAGGATATGGCAATTTCACAGCACGCTAACTTAATCGAGAGATCTTATTACAAAAATAAATTATAGCTCTCTGAAATAATAACTATCTAAAATATAGGGAACGTAAACGCTTAACTATAACCCGCCTGCCGATGTCCGTCTTACGTCCTAGAATATCTTACTGTTTCGATTAAGCGAAATTCCAACGCATTCTCAATGTAGAAAAACTGACGACGTGTGTACGCGGGCAATTATTATATGCTCGTATAAAATTTGCACGCGTGCAGTGTGTGACAAGCGAGGTTCTTCTCTAGCAGGAGCTACGTGTAAATAGAGACGATTTCACGCTAGGCGAGCAAAGATCGGGAGACTCCCGATCAACAATTTTCCACAGAGTATTCTACACCGAGTCTGACGAAAATGTCGTTTGGAATCGGCTCGCAAACCCCTGCAGTGTAGTGCGCGATGGCTCGCCGCCGTTCATTTGCACTGTAAAGCACGCAACTGCAAGTATCTAGTTACTAGGCACCGCTGTGTACATTGACTAGTGTGATTAAATCCGACTGAGACTACAGAATGTATCCGGTGTCATTTAACGCAAAAAGATCTTTCGTTGTTTTAAACGTAAACGAAGCTTGGAATGTCTTGGCGCGCGCGTGTCTCGATGAAATTTACTCTTCCGAAGAGAAATCACATATATGTAATAAAACTCGTTTCCCATTAACTTATTCTTATAGATGATACAAACACGTGTATATGTATATATAAGTTAAATATTACAATTTTATATATAATATATATGTATATATAAAAGATATATACATATATGTATTATAGAGACTTAATTATTAATATACGCTCTCTCTCTCTCTCTCTCTCTCTCTCTCTCTCTCTCTCTCTCTCTCTCTCTCTCTCTCTCTCTTTCTCCTGGAACTTTTTACAAATAATTACTTAAAATCTAAGCAACAAATTCAATGTGTGACGAAAGCGAGAAACGCTCACTTTCCTAACGTGTTACATTAGACAATCACACCTGTCAAAGTCACTACGATCAACGCACGGAGTATAAAAGTTAGTTAAATATCATAAATCGTCGTTCGTAGTCCAAGCAAGTGACGGTTGTAGAACAAAGAAAGTTTCCTTAGGTAGTTTAAGCTTGAGTGTAGAGCTCCTCGAGCTTCGGTACGTCGGGTATCGGATCTCGCCAGTACGCGAAATGACTGAACTCGTCGGCCGCGTCTTCTCGCCATGCCGGAAATACTTGATCGACGATAAAGCTCATGTTCGAATACCTGCAACGAGAGAATGAAACAAAAATTGCAGAGCACGTGTCGAACGAGTATCCGTATCCTCGTGCCGTCGGTATGGCTGGAAAAATGAATGTTTAATTGACGTCTTTGGCTCAATTTATGTCAAATGAATTAATATGTGTGAACTAAAAAAAATATAGTGAATTTTATTAATTTTTCTTAGCACATATTGTTAATGTATGAAATAAATATGTATAACAATATGTGTATATATATATATAAATTATATGTAAGTTTAATAAGGATTAAAATATTAAAGTTTATATAACACAAGAAATCTAAGACTAGATTAATAACAAACGTAAGTATATAAATTATAAAGAAAAAAATAGAAAATCATATATAGATTATCACGTAAGTTATGATCAATTATAGAGAAAAAAAATCGATATAAGGGTAAAGAATATTTACACGCAGTTTATAAGTTACAATTATTTTATAAGAATTATTAATAATATTAATGGTTTAAATAGCGGAATCACACAGTTTATGCGAGAGCGATCATGAAGTGCTTGGTTGAAAAATTATGGACGATAAGCAAGTAAAAAATGAGTTTGACAGAGTCGCGATAAACATCGCTTTCATTCATACATTTAAATAACAATGCCTGAAAAATAGTTGTTATAAATTAACATTGATACCACCCCTTCCTCATTGCTGTCAGAAACAAATGGAAAATGTATTCCCAATGACGAGATGTTAGGATGGCTGTGGAAATCAAAGCATATCAAGCAGTGATAAGAAAAAAGCAAACGTGTGTGTACAAAACAAGTGCTTACCCTATAAATCATAAGAAGATAGGAGTTGTCGCACACAACCAAATATATTCCAAAATATAATATTATCTAATGGTTACGTATCGATTGTATTTAAATATTTATAATTGGAAATGAGTTTTTCCGATAATCTGTAATATCACTCGTGTGTTCTCACAGCAGATATATAATGTGTGTGTTTTAACTTTGTATTATATGTACAAAGTATTAGGAAAAGTAGCGCAATGCATATGCATTATGCACGGCAATGTTCCAAGCAACAATGCGTTAAAGCCGAATATGTCATGTCACTTGGCACATTGCCGTATAATACTTTAATAAAATTAATTTACGTTTGTTCAAATTTATGGTTGTGCTTATCAGTAGACGTTTGCCATAAGTTGCGGCGGGAACAAGTCATTGACGATATTGCACTGACGCGCATAACTGCAATCACAGAAATATCCAGCCTATCAATACCCTCTGCAAATCTGCATTTTTCATCCTTTTTTTTTCAACCAACAACTTCATCTTTAACGCTCAAACCCTTTTCGCGATTTAGTAGGAGAGGCGGCATCCAGTTTTTGTTAATTTTTAAACCATTAGCATATTATAAAAATATCTCAAAAAATAAACCATTAGCATATTATAAAAACATCACAAAAGTTATTAGTAAGCACTAGACATAAAAATTAGTTGAGAAAACAGCTAATAATATTAAATGTTGTATAATCATATAAATTTTAATTAGCTGCAATTAGTTGCATCTGGAAATAACACTGCTTTAAAAATAGTACACATTACTCAAGATCAACAGTAAAATATTTAGTACCATAAAATATGACATTTAAAGGGTCACATAATTAATAGAAAGGAAAAATGCTACAAAGCACAAATAGAACTGTGTATTAAGAGTGTAAAAAAAAAATAAAATAGTGATTAAATTATTATCACGTACATCGCTGTTTTTTTTTTAGCAACAATCAAATATACATATATATTTATTTCTCGATTCTGCTGTTATATATTTCCTTTCGACACAGAAAAGAAATATTATTTTAATAAACGCCAATAATATAGTGAAATGCGATATACTTACGAAGATTGGAATGTTTGTGTCAATTCGTGCTTCAATTCTCCTCGATGATTTATGGTAAAGATCCGCATTATAGGAATGCCGACTGCTCGATACGCCCACACGTCCTGTACATACAAAACATTTTCTATATATGACACGCTCACTAAATATATTTTCTACAAAAAGTTTATCACTCGTTCAAGTTAATTAATAATCGATAAAAAGGATTTATCGCTCGTACGTTTATGCGATTTCCATATCCAGCATAAAACGGCGCGGATCCATCGGGGAACAACGCTTGAATATCCTTCAGGCAGGAAATCTTGAATTCCTCCGGCTTCTTCTCTATCACCTCGCGATGAAACGCCAAAATCAAGCTCGTAGGATTCAAAAGTAACGGGCCTTCCGGCAGCGTTAGATCCCCTTGCCTCAAGTTCCTCAGGTATTCCCGAGTCCCACCAGCCTGGCCGATCGCTCTCGCCGAGAGGTACAGCAGCTTGTAACCGTTGTTCTTGATCTTCGTAAATAATTGAGCGACCCCAGATTGAGCCCAGTCCTTGCCCACTATCGGTAGGATGTGACCCAGGACGTCGGATTTCGTAATGGTGCCGTCGATATCGGAGATGACGATCTTGTCGTCCCACTTCCACTTGTAGATGTGGCATTTGCAGCGCTTCGTACCCTGGTAAGCGGTGGTTACGCTAAAGACTACTTCGTTCGCGCCGTCCTTCAGATCGAGACTCGCCTGCAAAGAAATCAAAACTCGATCGTTTTTCCTTCTTCATACTCTATATGCAATAGCGAGAAATACGTGAGAGTACTCACTATCTGTTCGGACGACAGTCGCAGAGTCTTACGATACTTTTCCGTGGACTCGTAATACGGTCTTCTTTCCACGGGTATCTTAACACCTGCCGGTTCGTTGTGGTTACTGTCAGAATCCTCACCGCCGCTGTACCCTTCGCCCTCTCCCTCACGTGTTTTCTCAGTCTTTGTGAGTGCAGCAGTTTCGTCCGACGCAGTTACCAATCTTGTACAGGCTTCTATCTCCGTTGAACTTGACGAGTCTGTGTTTTGCTCAGTCTTTATTTCCCTGTAAAGATCATTAATGTAATTAAATAGAATTAAAGAATATAAGGTCAGATATAAAAAAAAAAGCTATCGAAAGAACTTGCTACCTGTTATCAGACGGTGATTCATCGTTTGTCAAAGCCTTAGCTTCCATAGACTGTTCGGATATCTGTACAGTAATTTCGTCGTCTGCAATAAATCAATAAAAGTTATATATTTTAATATATGTAGTGTATTTTATAATATGGGTAATATGGTATAATTTCAAAAAATAAACATAACTATATATTTTTGAAATAGGGAAATTCGTTAGGTGAAATTAAAAGTTTGAGGGATCTTACTTTGACTGGTGTCCTGCTTTTTAGGAGGTTGCGTGGAACGCCTCCAGGAAAACCACGAACTATATCCACTACGACTCTCAGGCTTGCCGCTGCTCTGTAGCTTCTTATCCTCAGGCACCGGCAACGACATGTAGAGATTTTCGATCGCGCTCTGCGGCAAGTGTCTTTGGAAAACGACGTAGGTCAACACTATCGGACAAGCCGTGGCCCAATTGTAGAACTTCCCGTTGATTTTCACAACCAGATTCGGATTCTCGTACAACTTGGGATCGGTGCAGACGTCCTCGAAGTGCAATAAATTTTCGTTGAACGCCTCCTTGGACGGTCCATTTTCACTGTCCAAACCACCGCACAGAGACAAACTTATGTCTATGCTATTATCGAAAATAGGATGCTTTGGTTCCTCGAAATCGCTATCGAGAGACTTTGGTCCGCCGATAGCTCCCTCGACACTATTGGGGCTCTGAGGTAGGCTCGGTCCGTTACCCGACTCTGTGTCTTCTTCATCCGTCGTTTTTCTATCTGTAACGAAACACACGTTATATTTTCTTATACAAAATGCAAAGAACAATATCACAGAATAACACCACAACCAATTTGGTTAATTAAAACAACGAAAATTAAACTTTACAAAGATGTACAGCTTTGTTAGTCATTTATTTTTATTTATTACTCCCCAAAAAATTGAAAATATAAACCTTTTCATTCCCAGGAAACAAAAAGACAAACTTGTAAATTGTATAAAATATTCGTGTTAAGTAACTTCAAGAATATTTTATTTTTAAAAAATTAACTAAAAATTACAAAAATGCAAAATGCTTTTCATTTAAATAACTGATATAAATACAGAAGAAATGTATTTACTGACGTGTTAGTTTCGATGAACTTAACATGCATTTGACATGCAGAAGCAAAAGCGAGTTTACCATATACCTTTAACCATCGTCGGGCCTCGATGCGAGGAGGGAAAGTACAAAGCCGCAACTTCGGGGTCCAGTTCGTCGGCATTTAGATCGCTAAGATAAATTCCTTCCGATTCCGGATTGTGTCTTACGCGAGAGGTCTTCTTCATAAAGGAGAACATGCCACTGAGCATAGACCGTTGTGCATCTTCTGCCATTAAAAAAGCTGTTAGCGAACAGTTAGTGTGATCAAGCGTTCGAGTTAGTTTCTTTTCATGAAGAAAAAAAAAAGATTAAGAACTGACACTGACTTGTTAAATTTTATGTTACAATTTCGTGTGTATCAAGCGTATTAGTTTCTCGAAACATGAACGATCGACGTAACGGTACTTTTTTTAAAGAATCGTACAATGAGGTGTTAATCATGAACAGTGTACAGTTCGACACGTTGACTGTCAACGGAAATAATGAAATCATGTACTAACTGTTTGGCAGCTGACTCGCTGTTGCCAAAGAATTCAACGAATTCCTGTGCGACATGTGCGCCGGCTCAGGAGGCGGACTCGGCAGTTCGCCCCATCTCCAACTCTGCTGATGGCCCTTGTCGTCCTCCCTCTCGCTGCCCTCCTGCGTAATTTTACGTACTTCGAATTCCGTGTCCGACTGAACGGGCGAGCATGGCCTGGAGTCCTTATTCCTTTTAAACACACACAATTATTATTATTAGTTAATTATAAATATGTCTGTACATTATTATGAGAAATACGAATTATAATTACATACTTGGTAACTTCTGAATCGCTGAAGAAATGAAAATCGGTTTCGGGCCGTGTCTCAACTACGTCCTGGGGGGATGTCATTGACTCCGCGGCAGCAGTCTTCTTGTCATCCTCCGTCGTCGGAGCGGGGCCCTTAAAATATCTTCCGTGAATAAGTCTGTCGACGTAGAGTAGGAAATGTAATGCTTATTGAACTCATTACTTACCGTCTCGCTAATTGACTCTTCGGTAAAAATCGCATCACTCTCGCTCTGTTCAGTCTGGCTGCTACTACCGTTGCTGGTCTTCCTCTGCGAACCCTTCTTCTTCATAATACTCTTCCTCTTGCGCTTCCTCTTGGTCGAATTGTTGCTCTTGCCCTCGTCGATGATCTCCTCCTTTAAATTCTTCTTGCCCAAGAACGAGTTGGATTCGTCGCTAGATTTTTCCTTGCAGCTGCTCTGGGGATCGTCCGTGATCGGCCGGAAGTCATTCTTCACCACGCTGATCTTGCGAATTCTCTCCGACGAGGTAACAGCCACGAAGGATTTCGGGCAGGAGATCGCCGACTTCGGCTGCTCGTCGCTGATAGCGTCCATGTCAAATATCTCCTCGTCCTCGTTCTTGTCGTCCTTCTCTTCCCATTTCTCCTCCTTCTTCTTCCAGTCGCTCAGTAAAGCCTTCTCGAAGTTCTGTCGCTGCTCGACCGAGAGCTCCGGGAAATTTTCCTTGAACAATCTCTCCTTGTCCTCCGTTTTTAACGCGGAATACTGTTCCCTGATCATCTGCTGCTTCTGCTCCGGAGAGATGGTGCCGAAGCTTTCCTTGAACATCTCGTCCCGCTCCTCCACGGTCAACGAAGCAATCTGAAGCCACTTCTCGCGATGTTCCGCGGGCAGATCTGAGAACTGCTCAATCAGAAACTTCTCCCGCTGATCGGGCGGCAAGGCGGACATCTGCTCCCATTTCTCCCGCTCTATGGAGAGCACCGAGTCTATGAGAATCTTCTCTCTCTGTTCCTGAGGCAGCTCCGACAGCAGATTGAACTTCTGCGGCGGGAAGCAATTGTCGGGGATAGGCGAGCAGGCCAGATGCGGCGGAATTTCAGTGTCTGTTGGAGATCCATTTGAGCTGACCTCTTCTACGAAGAACGCCTCGCCGGAATCTCCAAGTTTCATATGAATCTCCCTAGGTTCTCCATTGATCTCAATGTCAACCTAGAAAAACATTCCTCGAATGTAGCTGGCTACAATCTCTCGATACGTATTATATCTTTATATATAAACGATATATCTTTATATATAATCATATAAAAATATATATTTCTTATATAATATATTCATCTTTATTTCAATATAATAAAAATATAAATGTTTCTTTTAAGAGTGACATTTGCCAGATCTTGTTTTTTTTTTTAAAGCAATATCTGTTAAGAAATACAAGTGAATATTTTAATAAAGTAAAACATTTTAATAAAAACGAGAAGGTGTTTTCTTATTACGTGCAACAAATTATATCAATAAAAAATGTTCAATTATAAGAAATAACAACATTGCAAGTAATCAAGTATTTCAATTAATTAATAATTATCCAAAAAAACTATATTGACTAGAATGATAATTCTTTTCAAACGGCGCGCAGCGAAGGACACCCTTTAATCATCTGGTCTATCGATTATTATCGCACCCATTCGCGCGGCGATGAACAGCCGATAACAAGTGCAAACAAGGGGGACTCACCACTTTCGCTCTGGAACGGAGTACGCCGAGCTTGCCGAAGCGGACGTGGAAAGGCGAGCACGTGAAGGAGCCGTCCGGCTGCTCGACGACGATGACGTCGATCGCGCCGGTGAGAGTCGCGGCGTTGATCTCGTTGTAGAAGAGACGGAAGTTGCTGATGATCTTGGCGATATAGTTCATGCTGTACATGTCCTAAGCCCGCGCACCACAGGCCGCGGAACTCCGATCGACAACGGGAGGGCAGGGGGAAGGGGGGGGGCAGGGAAACGAGACGCACGATCACCGTCGTCGGAGCGTCGTTCGAAATTGGTGGCGCGCGACGAGAGAGGAGCGTGCTCGCGGCTGTCTTCAGTCCGAAGGTCTCCCGCGTGCGAGAGAGAGAGAGAGAGAAATAGAGAGAATGCGAGGAGCCGCGAAGTGCGGATTGAAATTGTTATCGCTCGCGACGGAACTGTCTGAACTGAAGTCGCGACGGAATCGTCAGACGGAATCTCTCCGTCAGATTTCCCTTGAGAGCACGACGACACGACGAAACTCCAGCCGAGGTCGACTCACGGCGACGGCGAGCTAGCTGTCAAGAGCGCCTGTCTCTCGTGCGTACGCACGAACGCACTCCTCGGTCACCGTGACGTTGTTGCGCGAATCCCGGTCGGCCGCGTCTAACACGTACCAGGATCGAGAGAGCGACGACGATCCCGACGAACTCGACGATACGACGGAGACGATCGACTCGTGGCCGCGCGCGGAGAGCCGATGGGCCGTCCTCTCTTTGGACTCTCCTCTCTCTCTCTCTTCGCGGAGAGGGCCTTTGTCCTCCCCGTCGAACGTACGTTGACAAGTGTAGCTGCCTGACACCGCCAGCAGCGGAGCAGACGGTAGTCCGAACTGACGTTGCGCGCGGTCACGTGTCCACGGCCGAGCCAATCGGCGCGGCGGCCGCACCGGTGGTCGATAACGGCGGCGGTGTACCACGTGGGTCCGGCCGGCGCGGTTAGGCGCGCGTTTCGAACCGCGGTAGTGTGCGTTGCGTGGCGGCGCGCACTGTTATCACCTGGAACAAAGAAACGTGACATCACACATCGTGCCGACCTGGTGGCGTGCGCTCGCTCGTGTGCGTGTGCGTGTACACGGACATCGATCAGCCTCGTCTTCGCGAGCGCGACGAGCCAGCGATATCCATGGACGAGGCAATTTCCGACATACCGCGGCATTATATCGGGACATGCTTTTCATGTCGCTTCGCGCTACCGCGCGATTCTCTCCCCGCCTGTCGGCGGAATAACGCGGATCGGTCTTGATCCTCCACAAAAAAAAAAAAAGATCGTTCAGACCAGAGGCATCGGAATTTCGCAACGAAATTTTGCGAAATAAATTTTAATCTCGTAAGAAATTAGCCAAGGTCTCGGGATAAAAAATTTAATTTATCGGAATGGAGCGACGCCAAGCTGCCGCGCGCGGCGGCTTAAAAACGGCAATTTCGGTCGCATGAGAAATTCGACGAAATTAACGATTAATTTGAATGGGTCAGTCGCACAGATTTCTATAATATATACAGGATACAGAAATCTAATGTAGAAATATAGAAATCTGTGGCCAATCGTTAATGGCTTTCGTGTTACTGTGCCGTTTGTTTCGTCGGGTGGGATCGAACGTCCGATCGTGGAAACCTTGTCGATCGTTAATCGCGTAAAATATCTGGCAAAACGACGGAGCCAGCGACGTGACGCGTCATCCGGCATTCAACGAAGCCCGGCAAGGGCGATCGAAGTTCACGGAAACCTATAACGCTCGAACCGCGCACGAGTTTGCGCTATTAACAGCCATTAGGTATAAGATCACAAGTTATTTCGGTCGTGCCCGACGGGGCGATCTCGTCGAACAGAAGACGAGAAATAATAATCGAGCGGAAGCAGCGAGACGATCGATAAGATCACGAGATATTTTAGTCGCGCCCAATGGGTCGCTCCCGTTCGAATAAGGACACGCGAAAGCCTGTTTAAAGTGGCCGAATATTACGATCGATATTACATTGGGCACGATCGTCAATTATTCTCTTCAATCTCGCTCACTGGAAGAGAGAAGTCGAGCGATCGCGTAAAAGATTTATCCCCCTCCCTCCCAAAAAAAGACAATTTTTTATATTTGTCGTTCGATCGAAATTTTGATAAACTTTGTTGCGTTAAATAATTGAGAAGCAGAACTGATCACCAGTTTGAAGAAATCGTCCTGGCTGCTTGTGTGGCCACGAAAATTACCTTACAAAAATTAAATGGAAGATACATGAATGGAAAATAGCGATTAATTACTTATTTTGAATATCAAAAGCATTGTTGTTTATGCATTGAACAACAGCTGTAATACTTAAAATTAAATAATTTTCATTATTTATAAATTGACCGATATGAGATTGAATTTCTGTAAGAGTTGATTTTTCAAGCAGAACGGATCACGATAACGTCAAAATGGCATTAAAATGAATCGTGACTGATTAAAAAATGTTTCAATTAATCATGATTCATTTTAATTACTTAAATATTAATTTTGCAGCTATAATTTTAACGTCATTTTAATGATATCATTAAAATGACTTTTCTGCTTCAGTTATCTCTCATCCCGATTTATAGTTGGAACGAAGGCAGCCATACTGCGCTATTAGTATAGATACCGATAAACAAGATTTTTTTCCATGACGCGTCTGTCGCGAATCTTCCGTCTTATCGAAGCCGATGTAGTGTGTAATTTTATCGGTCAAAGATCGTTACATAAAACTCTGATCGTTGGATTTCAATTCCGAAGTCACGTAAGCCGCGTTATATTTATAGAATATGCACAAGAAGCTGCAGCATGTGAATACATCGCGTGATTTCTTTCCGCAGACAGCCTCTCTCTTTCGGTCGCTTACAGACGCGCGGGACGCCGCGTTTTCTGCTCACGTAGACCCGATATGAATGACACAGCAGACTGCATGACGGCGGCCCACTTGAGGGAAACACAAAGCGTATACGCGACGCGGCGTTCCATCTCCGCTCGTGTCTGCCACGATACAATTAAAAATAGCGCGAATCTCTCTTATAGAACATCAGCAATACAGAAACGAACGTTTAATCATGCACGCTCATCTAGATTATTTCGAGCGAAAGTATTTACGTTCTCATTTCTCACGTGGTATTTTTCTAATTCTATTTTGGATATTATTCTATTCTCGCCTCGTAGAAGAAAATATCGAAAGATGAATAATACCGAGATACTATTAATGTCTTAAGCAAATTTCAACTAGTTTTCGTTATCTAAACTTGTTAAAATTAGCTGAAAATATTTAATATTCTTTTATTAATATTAATTCTTTTATTAATATTAATATTAGTCTTACGGACATATTAAAGACACTATTCCATTTTCGCTGAAAAAAATATTGAAAGATGAATAATACTGAAATATTATTTAATGCCTTAAACTAAATTTCGTCTTAAATAAAACTCGTGAATATTTATATTATGCATACATTGAAGATATTATTCCATTCCTGCCAGAGAAAAAATATTAAAATAACAGCAAATTATTATAGTTGTTTTAAATACTGCTAATTTTAATAAATATTGAGATTATGCGCATTTTTATGTTAAAAGATTAATGCAAAAGCTTTGCGCGACTTTTTATTCGATTTCTTTATATCCATAAATTTCAATATGTTATTCTTCATCTGACGATTTAACTTTTGATCTCAAGAGAAAAAAAAAGAAGAAGGAGAGAATAATAAGAATTGGATCTAATATTGAAATTAATATTACTCGGAACTCTTAGGTGCATACGGATTTCTTTTTTTTTTTTTTAAATTGCCGTGCGTCAAATTCTCCGAGATTTAATGTTTTTAGAAGCGATTACATCTTTAACGAACACGAGTAGAAGAGGGAATGCAAGGCACTTTGTATTCAGTTGACCGCCATCTGATTGTCGAGCCACGCGTAGGCGGCGATGTGCGCGCAATGCAAAAATCATGAACGTTGTACTTTGTCCGCCGACGCAAGTTGCATGTAGCCTAACATTGTCAAGGTTTAATAACGGCACGGTTCACTCTTTTTTTGTGCAGCTTTCGCGATCGATGTGTGAATGTTTACTCGCGCGTGTACGTATGTGTGTATGTGCGTGTGTGTGTAAACAATTGTTAGTACGAGAACTCAAAGGCCTCTTTGCGTGCACACGGTGCAGTTGGTCCAGATGTTTACAGATAGCTCGTCATACGGCGAGTTGTAAATTAAAAGGAAAAATATTAATTATTCTCGACGACCAATGTTAACATAAAAAAAATGTTCGCTTACGTTTCTTTTTCGTGTTGCATAATGATTATTTCGCGATGCGTGTTTTGCTGATATGCTGACGGCCGATATTATTTTTTTTACGCGCCACAGCAATTTGTTTTCGCGTTGCGTTAAATCTGCATCACCTACTTTTAATTATTTTATCTTCCGCAATTTTTTGTCGACGTGACTTAGCTGATTTTATTCGCAGATCTCTCGCGGTTGTTAGCTAATGTAATTATTATACGCGATCGTAACAAACAGCGATTGCCGAGATCGATAAAATCCCATTAAGATCCGCGTCTTCAACGATATCCATTAATAAGCGTAAAGTTCACTGATAATATTTTCGAATAATAACGCAACAAGCGCGAGAGGAAAGCGTGATGAGGAAAGAGACAATTCATCGCTGGCGTTCTTAATTCGATTTTCGCGGCAGTCGCGAGCGCGCGAGAACAACGATTATTGCGAGGCGGGAGCCTAGTTTATCTCTGACTGGCGAATAACGGCGCAAAAAGGTCGATCACTTTCCTGGGGCTTGCGTAAAAGAGAAGGTTGCAACGCGCGAGTGAAACGCGGCGACAGGACCGGGGCTGCGCTCACTGCCTGCAAATTGTTTCACCATCTGCGTCGCCCTTTGCGAAAATACACACCCTTACGGGTCTCTCTGCGATTCTCGATTTGTCATCCGTACAAATGAAAAAAAAAAAATTGGGTCGCGCGTTCGTCTCTGAAACGAGAACGGTATTCGCGTTTTGACATTTGCGCACATAAACGAATTGCTTGTTATTCGCTCCGATCTCAAGGCTGTGTGTATGTGACTCTCGCACTACATTTTATTCTAATTTAAAGCTGTCCTTAAAGATATTAAAATTATTCGCAGACAAACAGTAAACAGAATGCGATAATATGCATTTAAACATCGAGATATGAATACGCAATATTTCGTCTTGCATAATATCGAAATGCGTTTAAATTCAAGTTGGTTGCTTTACATAAATATAACGATTACGTAACGATCTTTTGTGACAAAATTCGACGGCTGAAATTTCAGTCCAAGTCTAAATCGTCGTTCGCGAGCCATAAAAGTTATCGTACGATCGTACGCTCTCCCAGGAAATATGCAAGCTCCTCGTGCGAGATCTCCAGTCCTCTCTCGTCCTCTCGACGAGAGAGAGATTTACCTCTCTGAGCGGCGAGTAAGAAAGTTTCAGAGGTTCTCAACGCGTCGCGGTCTTTTTTTTACAACTCTCGCTGTTTTCAAGCAATTATTGAGTAATCGTTATTCCTCTCTTTCACGTAATTAACACATATTTATTTACTGTATGGAAGAATACACTCGAATTACATCGTAATAAGATTTTTACGTCATCAGAGCGAGAGCGAATGTCTTTGTAAACGTGTAATATTTCTGACAAAATTATTCAATACTGCGCAATCGAGAGACGGAGCAGACTGCGAGAGAAAGAAAGATAAAGGACTCAACCTGACAGCTGGACTGGTTTCAAAAAGCGCGACACAATATTTTCGCGAAATTAGATATATATGCGCATGTACTTGGAACGTTCCAACATTCACGTCCGTCTAACTTGTCCACTCGTGGCTTTGACGTGACAGATGTAAATCTCGTTAACGTCTGCGTTCTATCGGTCGATGGGAGACACGAGGCTCTCGAGCCCCTATTAATAGCCGCAAATAACAAATGCTTAACATCGATCCGTCCAAAAACGAGCCAAATCGATATTTCGCGAATCGC